AACTAAGTTTCATGTGAAGCTTAAGACATGTAAGGTTTGTGTAGAGAGACAGGGATGGATGTTTCTCGCAGTCACTGTTATGCTTTGGTAACTCTATGGGTAATAAGTTTCTTACGAAGCGAATGTATCAGTTGAACACCATAATTTATTATTGTTAATTCCGTTTGTTCTTTTTTTTTTTTTGAAAAGGTCTCTGTATAATAACCTTATCACCGTTATACCAGATACTGCTTTCCATGGACTGACATCGTTAAGAAATTTGTAAGCGTGATATCAAATAAGTTTTGCTTGGATTCTCTTTGATGAAATCATTTTCCTTTCACTGATTTACAATGCAACTTCATTGTAGCTTAGTTCTTGTTTGTGTTCTGTAGGTACTTGCAAAGCAACCAAATTGGGAGGATTCTGAAGGTCATGTTTAAGGATTTAACTGCATTAACTAGGCTGTAAGTGAACTGAATAAAATTGGAAGGGATACTTTTTGGGTGACGTCATATCTACAAACAATAGATTTCATATATGTTGAAGGGACGTCATACCTACGGACAATAGTTTTATGCGCTCAGGAATATGCACAATAAAAAATTATTGGATTCGGTTTTCACTTGATAGCGAAAACACAAAACTTTGGCCTTGATAATTATTGCTATCATGAAAAAAACTGAATCTTTTAATTGTTAATTGTTGTTATTCAGGGCTCGACACTAACGGTAGCCCGCTAACCACAGACTAGCAAAACTTCAGGTTTGGCCAGTGGTTTTTGATTTCCACCATTCAGTTTGTCTAGTAAAAAAACTGAAATTGTCGTACCATCTAAGATTTCACCAGCCACTTGGCTAGTAAGTTGAAAAAGTTAGTGTCGAGCCCTGTTATTTAGTGTGAGCCCTGTTATTTACGTGAGTGGAAGTCCAGTTCAGGTTATTTTGACTTAATATTGCCATTTTAATCAATAAAGCGCGGGTCATCAACTAGAGTAATCTCGTACTTATTATACCTCACTTGTTACCCTATGCTTTACGGAGGTTTCACTCTTTGCAAGATTAGTCGACTCCTTCCAGTTCGTACCCGTTACAACGAGTTCGCCTCATAAAATAACGTGCGCCAGCCCGTATCCTTTTGGCGAGACTTTAGTAGTTTTTAGAGCAAACATGAGGTTAAAAACATACAAATGTCTTGCCTTAACTATGCAAGTATGGAAAGCCGCTCTGAAACGCTGGCATCTAACGTTGAAGGCGAATTTGTTGTACTTCATGGGGTGAACTCGTTGCGGTGGGTGCGAAACTGCAATGGTGCTAAACCTCGAGATACCTATCCTTGGTGAAACTATCTTCATCTTTTTTCAGTGACTTTGGATATTTTAATAACGATTTGATTAGCTTTGCCGAATGTATCCCAGCTCTGATTCTTTGAGACAATTATGAGGACCTCTGTTTCTGTTAAATAAGTGTTGCTTATTGTACTTTCAGAGATCTGTCACACAATGACATTGCCTTTATTGAGGATGGAACGCTGTCCGTGACGCCATCATTCGCGTTTTTGTAAGCAACGTATTCGTTGATTTTTTCCTGCTATAAAGAGATTCTCAGCTGAATATGTTTGACTGATTATCTCAATGTACACTGCATAACTCAAGGTATACAAGACATGCTTACCGTGATTTTAATAGTAGTAATTGCTAAATGCACAGGTAAATAAGCCCTCTTCTTATGTACACAAACTTTAACAGAAATGGACTAAAAATTTTCATTATCTCAAGTTTTATACAAAGGCACTTTATTCACTCAAACAACAAAAGCAGCCAAAAGACAGAGAAATAAATTGCAAGCAGTCCATCTCCAGCAGTTGGTTTTGCGAATGGTCAATCTTTCAATAAGTTTATTATTTGTGTAAGCCTTATATAATTGCTTTAATTTTTCTTTCGCCTTTCAGAAATCTTGCATATAATCAATTGACAACACTTCCAGTTGGTGGAGATTTTCACAATAAAGAGATGAACACAATGTAAGTCACAGAAAGTTTACTGCATGACTTGACTAAGGATTATCTCATAATATCCTCCTTACTCATTTCGTACATCTGTGTGATGATCTGCAATGGGGCTCTAAGATCATTTATCCCTTTTCTTGGTTTTGCTTATTTTTATGTCATTATTGTCTTCTCTTGACTTTTTTATATTTTGTAAAGATCACAACAAAAGAAAGCAACAGTAACTTATCGTGTGGACTGACCGTCCAGATGAGAAAAGTCTTGAAAAGGAACGATATTGGTTACAGGATTGACTTTTGGCAACCTGAATGGAAGCCATCATCAGAATCAAGCGACTTTGATGACAACTTCTGTTGGGATTGTCGAAATGACCGTCAGTGTCATTGGCAACAATTCTTTTTTAAGACTTCTCTCACCAAAGCGACGAAATTTCTCGATTAAATGTTACTTCTGAGCTCAAATCATGAACTGTGAGGCAAAAAAAACTTATTTTATCTTTTTATAGCGATTTCAGAAACAATAGAATCACATCTATTCGAAATAGGACCTTTGTTGGAACCACATGCTCAGGATCTTGTGGCTCTAGGATTTGGTAAGTAATGTTTGATAACAATTCAGTGAGGATGATGAATTTCAAGTCAAATTTATGGGAGGGCTCCATGGGTTTCTCCGCTGATTGAGTAGAACAGTGAACTCGATTATTTGGTCACCATTCAGGCTCATCAAATAATCAAGGAGAATGTGCTGCCTTTGTAATAACTTCTGCAACTGGTCATTTATCATTTTCTTGTCAGGTTTGAAATGTAAATCCTAGGCTCATTGTACATTATTTATACTACTGTGGTCATTCGGGAATGTAAAAGAACCTACACAGTTCGGTTGTGTGCTCTGGCTCTGGGCAGCTCCAGATTGATATGTCGCTGCCGAAAATTCAACCTCCTTAAAAAAATATAACAAAAAACACATAACATTTGGTGGGTCAACTTTTTGTTTTCTCACAGAGCTTGAAGTTTATTATTACATGCCACATGTTTGCCAAGACTCG